GCTACTTTTCTAGTGAGTTGAATTGTGGATATAAGCAGACATTGCAGCTTAAATAACCAAATTTGTGCAATCACTAGTTTTTATCACTTCAAATGAATTAAAGTAATTTAAAGTCATAATGAGATATGACGCAAGTTAGAATATTCACTAAGATTAATGTAATCTGAAAAGTTAAACTACGAAAATGAAAACAAAAGTAAGTAAGCCTTAGCATACCAAAGTAGGAAGTCAGAACAATAATTGTTATCATTATGTGGTAATATTATCACAGTAAATTAAAATCTCTGTGATACAAAAGATAAGCAATTAAATGCTTACTGTACTCTACATATTTACTAAGATTTAAACTACGCGCAAAAAATAATCATTTCAACAACCAAGTCGCAATATGAAAACCTTTCGTTTCATGCTCAGTTTGCTACATCAATATTAACACAAAGTGCATAAATTACACTTTGTATGCAACAAAATTTTTAAGATACATAAATTGTGTCTTCCAGACTACAAGACGAAAAATAGAATGCGAGTGGCAATCAACGATAAACGCAAACCTGGAATTGTAGTAGTTCTGAGCAGTTATTTAAGTATGTAATCAGTGATAACATGTAAAGCGAAATTTTTGAAAATAAAACACTAGAAAATACAAGTTTATGAGATTACTTAAGAATGAATTTACATCGAAGCACATACAGTACACGATTAGCTAGAACTTCTGAATCATGAAAGTAATACGGTGGCTTCATGTGAACAACTCTGTAAGTAATTACTCGACAATAACATGATTCAGAAGCATTATGTTGCAAATTTCAATAAAAAAACAATGGAAATAGATCAATACACGCGAGATTCTATCATATAACAATCAGATGCTTTTTGAGACATCTTAGCAACTAAACAATAATCTGCACATTAACATACCTTGGAATAAATCGATGAAGAGATATTGTGAGTAAGCGTAACTTTAGTAAGTAGTCAGTAGAAATGAGTAAGTAATTAAAGCACACAATCAACTAACAGATCCCTCTGCAATAACTGATCTTTCTGTCATTAAGGGACTACATACTCATGATGCGACGCCCTAGTGCTTAAGATGATTCTTGATGGTACGAAACTGCATCCAGAATGCTTCCATAACAATTTTGCTTGAAATACACGATGCTGAATTATGATAACTACCATTTGATTTCACAGTATTTAGAACTACTACAGTACTAATCTAGCACTACAGTATCCCTAACCATTGTATCACTAATACGTTTAGGAAATATCATAGCAAAAATTTGAAACGGAACTACTAAGCGAAAAATCAATACAATATGATTTTGTACAACGACAATAATAACATAGAGTAACTGAATCCTCAAATGACAAATTAAATTCATAGCAGTGTTTCAAGTAAAAATTGAATCGCTTGAGAAGACAAAAGAGCTTACTTACAAAGTTAGATTTATCATCTTTGATTGCTTCATAATTATAGCATGAATATTAAAACCAAAATTAGCCCGCAGACATTATTCTACAATCTTGAATTTCGTTGACGCTCTCAAATCTACCTCAAATAATATTGGCTATCAGAGATATTGAAAATCAACAGAAAAATATGATAACTTAGAAATCAGAAATTAATTTTCACGTCAGAAATCAATTCTTATATTAAGTTTAAGTAAGCAATAAAGTAAGCTTAGAAATAAAATTCGTTACGAATAATTACTATGCAAAATTTTTAAGCTTTTCTTAAAACACAAACCAGTTTACTTACAAACCGAGATGTATCGCTTATCATCTAAATTCAATATTCAGCCATGTCTAGCATGCATCAGTCTATACTCTTGAATTTCCTTGACGCACTGATAATTTTTCAAAAATACCTGATTTTACTCCATGATTGATTAACTTCTCTTCTGATTATTATCACTGATAAGAAGTGAGCAAATAAATTGGAATAGCCAAAACAAGCTATTGTCTTAAGACAATTACATAAATTATGCAAAAATATTTCTTGTCAAAATCTTCATAAGCTGACTGAATATTGCAGTAAAAAGTTCGCATTTACAAATTTTATGCAAAAAAAATTAGATAATTAATTTTTAACATTGATTCAGTAACAAAATTAATTTTTTTAATAACTTTCAATCTTTACTAAGTAAATAATAGTTTTTGTGTAATTGTCATTGGCGAAAATAAAAAAAAAACTGTATTATAAATAAAATAAACACGTAAAATGACCAAAATTTACCACCGCGAAACAGAACAGATCATCATTCATTTTATTAATGCTTAATAGAAGTTGACATAAGAACTGAAAAACATTTCGAATGTAGAATTAGAGCAATAATGATGATACCACTTGATAATAAACTTTAAATATTGCACTGGAAAGATTATATGAGAGACAAAAGTATGGGAAAGGTTCACTTAACGACACGTGTAGAAATAGGAGTGCGTATACGGGTTTTAAGTCGAGTATTCATGTCGGATGTAATTGTTACCAGAATGTTTTGTTCAAGCACATCACTGTACTCAATAATTTGAGGCTAAACTAATTTGTGTTAAGACTGCAATAAGCTAATCTTCGACATTATGCAAGTAACAACCATTAATTTACCCACAGTTTAGTGATTTGATAATTTTATGCCTCATGCAAATTTCATATATATATCAAATAGCAGCAAAATTGAACCATAATGCACCTGTATAAATCCGTTCACTCATGACTTTTCGATCTTGTAATACTGATATCATTTCGATGTTAACGAATTTACTCAAAACATGCAACATTGAGAATATAACTGCTCAAAATTTGACATACGTACGTGAAACGAGCAATACGTAAGCTCATTTTTTTCGTGTGTAGATAGCAGTTTTTGCACTACTTTTAACTGCATACGTTTGTAATATTCACAATCACTTTTCACCAATTTACTTAATTTAAATCTTGTTACGAACAGCAGCTATCATTGCTGAGCTTTTGGTCTTGTCAGATTTGATTATTTAAAACATTACACATAAATCAACCAAAAGACTCATTCGTTATTCGTTGGATATTTCAGTAAAACATCTTTTTTAAAATTAGTATTTGCTGCTGGAACGAGTTTTTTGTATTTTTCTCATGAGATCTGGAAGCACTGCATTTAATTTTTTTTATCATAATACGTGGTTTGTTTTTGTTAAAAAATTCAAAATTATTTGATTTTGATTGATGAAAAAATTTGTTCAATTAATTTGAAATACTAAAATTCGAAATAAATTCGAGCCTTTTTTTGTGACTTATTTGTTTTGTTATTTATAGTATTCATTAAACTTAACGGGTAGAATGACAGCATATAAAACACGCAAATAGTTTGGAAAAATATATATTCTGCGAAAATTTTTGGGTTGAACATGGTTTTGAAAGGTTTTTTATAGGTATTAAATTCAAAATATGTGCAGCGCACGCTTAGCTCCATTACCGAGAATCCGTGGTACTACTTCAAAGTCCCGTTACTTGGAAGTGTCACTTGGTTGTGAAGCAGTTGATAGAGTTATTGGAGGTGGTATGCCACTATCTTCTCTTTTTATTGTCGATGAAGACAAAAGTCGGGCTTTTGCTCCTGTTCTTGCCAGATATTATTGTGCTGAAGGTTTGTTCTTCACTTTGTTACTTAAGTAGAACCTCAGGACCGTTCCCAGTTTAGAGATTATTATTGATTGTGATAATTGTCCTCGTAAAAAATATAAAGTTGTCGCAATTTAAACTGTACTTGGTAATATCTATGTCTCATTCTAAAATAATGTATTTGGATTCTCTTGGAAATTAGTGCAGTTTAAATTGCGACAACTTTATATTTTTTTGATATTACAAAGTTCGATAGCAGTATGACTGATACGGATCTTTTTTTTTTGATTCTTGCATCCGCGTTTGTGATGAATTTATTACAATGTTTTTCAGGTGTGTATTGTGACCACTCTTTATTCGTTGCAAGTTCTAGTCGTAACCCATCAGAGCTGATAGAAAATTTACCAGATCGGATCACAGCTGCGGAAGATATGATTCCGAAAGATGATATTTCGTGCGAAGGGAATGAGACGATGAAAATCGCATGGAGATATACAAGTGTACCAAAACTAAATTCGTCGCTCTGTGATTCTCGTAAAACTTTACACTATGATTTAACAAAGAAAATGGATCCAATTAAATTCGAAGCTTATAAGATTTCGTTGTATCCAAAGTCAGATCAAGCTTGCTGCGGATTCCCAAGTTATAGTGAGCTCTATCAGCGGATACGACGGAACCTTACTGAAAACCAATTTCTTATGTCTGCAACATCTACTCAATTTAATATTCTGCGTATAGTTGTAGAAGGTTTGTAATTTAGCTTTAAGCTAAGTTTTGTGAGTTTTTTGTGGGTCAGCTTCAAATTTGTTCTATTTAGCTTCAAGTTGCATTTTTAAATAATAAAAATAATAAAAGTAAACTTTAAAGGTGTTGGAAGTCCTCTTTGGCAGGATCCCGAGAATGACTTAAAATTTTTAGCTCACCTACGCTGCCTTTTATGTTCGTATTATTCCGTTGCAATGATAATTGTTAACACTAGTGGAATGTCACAAGAACGAAAGGTTTAGTCTTATACTAATTTAGTAGGAAATTAGTACCTAAAATTTTTAAAATGCTTTCAGCACACATGTTTTTGCTTATTCTTCAATTAAAGCTGAATTGTTTATACGAATACTTCTCTAATACATGAAATAATTTTTCAAGAATAAATACTTTATTTTTTAGAGCAGGTTATATGCTTACGGTGATTTGTCAATTCACTTGGATGCAGTAGGTGATATCGATGACATAAAACAATTTGATGATCGATTTGATGGTTATTTCCGTTTGTTAAAACTACCAACAGTATCTTCAATCGCAACTCATTGCCCAGTGAATAGTGATCTTGTCTTTGAACTTCAAAAGCGGAAATTTGATATTAGAGTACTTCATCTGCCCCCCTCTGTTGAAAATGCTGATGATGGTAAAGATCATGATATTCCATGCAAGCAAATATTAGATGCATTTTAACTTTTAGACAGAAAAGCAAAAGCGGAAATATGATATTAGAGTACTTCATCTGCCCCCTTCTGTTGAAAATGCTGATGATGGTAAAGATCATGATATTCCATGCAAGCAAACATTAGATGCATTTTAACTTTTAGACAGAAAAAATATTGCAGTCATATAACTCATATAACTTACTTTGGAATGAATAGAGTTAATATTGTGCTTAATTTTAATCTGATTATATATTCTTTCTATTTGTTGAAAGGATTAATTTGTTTTTTTATATGCATAGAGTTGTTAATATATTTAAGATAATTAGCATAACATAATTGATGTTGGTAACCTTATTAATAACATTGTAGCAATTTAGATAATGTTGCAAAAATTCAAGATGTGTACTTGTTTGAATATTAACCTGAAATCTGATAATGTAGTTTGATTTCATTGCCATGTATCTCTCAGTTGCTTTTATCGTTATGAAGTATTAAACATTGTTAGAGCCGTCGAAGATCACTGACAGTTTGTTTATTCAAGAAATAATCTTTTTGGTGTTTTGAATCTCACTATATGAAATGAACTCTTGGAGGATAGCAGAATTATTTGTGTATCAGATTTTTCTGAAGTCGAAGAATTCAGGGAAGTATTGAAGCATTTTTGTTGCTTGACGCTGTTAAATGTGGTTGAAAAGTCAAGTTTTGTTGAGTGCATATAGTCGATATGGCGTTTCGATGGCTGCATATAATCGGTATGGTGATTTGAACTTTTTATTTCGATATAGGGAAGTTCATCGTGTATTCAGATTTTTTTAATCTAAGCTCCATCAATTTCTATTTAAATATATTTCACTGTGTTGAGGGAATTAATGTACTTTCTTGTTACTGAATAATTCATTTTGCTAGAATAAATTAATTTATTAGGCGTTTAATTCACGATGTTGCAAATGAAAAAGTCAAGGTGGAATGTCGAGAACTTTTTCAATTGCCTCAAAAATTCGACTTTCGAATTTGGTTTCCAATGCACATGTCTGTACAGCTGAAGCGAATGATTGGTAAATTGAGAACTATGGACCTTATTATTGAAGTAAGAAAAAGTATCCGGAAATTAATTTTTGAACCGCTTATGTGATGACAATGTAGACTTTTGCGTCCTTCATTATTCTTGTTAGAGATAGAAAATAATTTAGTCAAAAGTGCAGTGATAACTTTAAGTGTCATTTCATTTTAAGCCGCTGTTACTTTTCTACTTGCGAAGTTTCTTAAAGGAAATAATACTAACTTTTTTTTTTGTGCTGTAAATTTCAAAAAATTAGCATAAATACTGATTTATAAGTATATTATGACTTTTGAATTAACCGCTATCAGGAATTTCTTGTATTATAATTCATATTATTTTAAAAAATTCACTAAGTTATCGCATTTATGATAGAGAACTTTTCGACATTAATTTTCAGGTTCATGATGCTCGGGTTCCGATTACTGGACGTAATTTTCAGTTTTATTCTTCGCTTTATGCGATCAGGCCCCATATATTAGTGATGAATAAGATGGATCTTATAAATAAAAATTTACGGTTTGAAAATTATTGGAATTTGATTAGTCTTATGAAATCTTTTTGCACTAACATTTACTTTATTGTTTGCAAATGTGAGTGTATTAAGTTCAATTTGTTCTTGAATAGTAAAGAAATGCTGTCTTAAGGAAACCGATTGAAGATTATTACTACGATAATGGTTTGAAGAATTTAATATGGACTAACTGCAAAAAACGAATGAAAAAGCCACTTCTGGAATTACAAAAAATGATGTTGCAGTCTCTTCGTGATGAGCCACGTTTCAACCGAACTGTGAAAACAGAATATCAAGTTCGCGTCTCTAAAAAAATTTTCATCAATCTTAACTGTTTAGTTACGAATTAAAGCTTGGTAATAAGGCGTATCATTTATTTAATAATCGGTATGATTCAAGCAAAATGTTGAAATTCATCTTCATTAGACTATTTAAATTATCGTTACTGTTGTGGGAACAAATGTTAAAAATTTGAGGCAAAGAAAATCTTATGAAGCACGTAGCAAAGTAAAAATAATATATTTAAATGAACTAAGCATCATAAAACCATTTTTATAATTTTACTAATGGTTCATTTCGAAAAGTTCTATCATTCAATTAGGTTATGGTAGTAGGAATTCCGAATGTTGGCAAATCATCATTGATCAATTCCTTGCGATTTACTAATCTTGGAAATAGTCAGAAAGCTGTTGAAGAAGGTAAGCTTATAAGATTGAAGTTATTTCTTGGTCAGAACATTTTGAATATAGATACAGAAATTCTGCCGTGTTAACTGGCAACTTGTGTTTATCTGTATGCTATAATCAAATATTTAAACTTTGATTGCAAGAAAACTCGCTTCTACTACTAGCTCAGTATAGATACATTTGCTTCCTACTACCAATATTAGTCTCTATTGTTTGCTGCAACAGCCGAATCTAAATAGTAGATTTCTAACGCTGATTTTTTACTGAAAAGAATAGAAATTTGACTAGTCCGATGTTTGTTTCGTTCCCATCTCATCCTTGCTTTGATTTCACACAGATTTGTGAGAATTTTCCAGGTGCTAG